CGACAACGCACGAAAAAGCATTCTCCACAGTTAAGGAACTGATCGCTAAAGCAACAGTGCTCGCACATCGGGACACTCAAGCACCCATTTATATCGCCGTAGACGCATCTGACTCAGCAATTGGAGGAGTCTTACAACAATGGAATAACCATTCTTCACAACCTCTGACATTTTTTTCGAGACGGTTGCTAGACACTGAATGGTGATACAACACATTCTTTAGGGAACTCCTAGCTATGTATTGTACTGTACGGCATTTTCAACACTATTAAAGGCTGAGAATTCACCCTTCTTACTGATTATAAACCTCTTACCTTCTATTTAAGCGCCTCTCCGGACAAGTACTCACCACGTGAGTCTCGACAACTGGACTATGTTTTGCAGTTTACTCCAGATATACGACACAGTTTTGGAGCAAACAATATAGTTGCAGACGCCTTATCTCGGATAACTTCCTTGGACAGTTTCCAAGGAATCGGCCTTCTGAAACTCACCCAGCTTCAAAAAGAAGACACTGATCTTCAGCACGAGTTATCTTCAACAACACTTAAGCTGCGCATCAAACGGATGAGAACAGGTAAGGAAACCATACTATGTGACCCATCTACAGGTAGGGATCGTCCAGTCGTGCCGAAACATTACCGACGCGATGTCTTCAATACATTGCACAAACTTTCTCATCCAGGGGTTCGTGCAACCATCAAGCTTATAGCAGAACGGTTTTGCTGGCGCTATATGAATAAAGACGTGAGGCAGTGGGCAGGCTCCTGTGTAAACTGCTAGAAATCTATAGTGATTAGACACAACAAATGTCCCTTAGGCTCTTTCGAAACTGCCGACGCTCGTCTCGACCATGTTCATCTGGATTTGGTAGGACCTTTACCAGATTCAAATGGATACTCTTACCTCTTAACCTGCGTAGACCGTTTCACTCGATGACCAGAAGCAGTATCTATCAAGGACATCACTGTTGAAACAGTAACTCGCGCCTTCGTCGAACGATGGGTAGCAAACTTCGGCTGCCATTCAACCATCACTACAGACCGCGGACGTCAGTTTGAATCTGATCTTTTCCGTCGTCTGACCACACTTTTAGGAATCACTCGATTCCGAACGACCGCCTACCACCCACAAGCAAACGGGTTGGTAGAACGTTTTCACCGACAATTAAAAGCTTCAATATCAGCTGCAAACATTTCACAGTGGACTGATGCTCTTCCACTCATCTTACTAGGTATTCGCAATGCAGTGAAAGCTGACATTGGATATACTGCGGCTCAACTCGTTTATGGAACGACACTTCGACTTCCAGGAGAATTCGTGAATCCTTCGTCCTCTTCAATGAACATGGATCTACCTCCTACACGAACAGGCTTACAAACGCAATGCGTTCAGTTAAACCTGCTTCCACTCGACCTCAACCAACCGATGTTTTCGTTCAACCTGACTTACGATACAGTACACACGTTTTCATTCGTCGAGACTCGCATCGACGACCATTCGAATCAGCATACGAAGGACCTTTCAAAGTTCTTCAACGTGAACCGAAGTACTATATAATCGATAAGAACGGAACCAACGATACCATCAGCATCGATCGCCTCAAAGCAGCGTATTTAGAAGGAAATCCTATCTACGTCGATTTTCCTTCGGTACAATTGAACGACACGACTCCACTCATAATTCCTCAATCGACAACCAACACACGCGATGATACTCCGAATGTATCTGAAAATAAGCTTAAAGCGACGCGTTCTGGAAGAAGAGTTAGATTTCCCGAACATTTAAACAACTATTCCACGTAAGGCACTACTAGACATTTAATATTATCTCGATCTTTCTTTTTACGATATATAATATATTTAAAAAACAATTTTAATATGCTCATATATTTCTACTTTTATTTAAAAAAAACATTATAATTTTTTTAACGATATTACGTGTAAATTAGTTTATATTCCAATTTTTTCGCGGACACTGTGTTTTTACGCACATACGAGTGTATTTCGACATGCACTTACATTTTCTTTTTTCTTTTCCAGGACGGCTGCACAAGAACGATGAACTTTACGAGGAGTCAAAATTTTCATTGTACTTTGTTTTACTATGTTGTACCTCGGTCCCATATAGTAAAGGAAGACGACCAGACGCTGCTAAACCTAGTAAACTATCAGAACAGTGTTTACCAACGACAAACTCGTTGGGTTTAAACTTCTGTCTGGCCACGTCTTAGGGTCATCACTAACCCACTAGGGGGGAGTGATCTGTTGCGGTAAATAAATCCTTAAAATAAATAGCCCTATAAGCTTTCGACATTGGATGCTGATCACATGTTTTAGTGGACTCATGTAGCTGAAGGCGCTCGGTCAGGCATCCGCACCAGATCACGTGTGGTAACGCCGTGCTCAACTGCTACTGCAATCGCTAGCCAGATTAGATCAGAGAATTCCGAGATATTGGTTATCGCCAAATACACTATTCCGATTTTCTCGACTCTGTCTTCTGATTTCTCTGGGTGGTCACGAATTATATTAGGTGGTACTGGTAGAAGCGTTGTCAAACACTGAATACCTATGTCATCATTCAGTGTGAATTGCCAAGCCTAAATATATGACTAGAACATACTTCATACGCAACAAATTAGTTAATCAGACACATATAATAAGAGCCAATAATTCATCAATTCGAGAGTACATATATAAGATTCTGAAGCATTCTTGATGAGCTCACATAAATTAATAATTTGTTACGTCATTCACTATTCCAACTCTTTCCGAATTTTAAAATTACATCATTCATAACTGACTGATTTCAATTCATATATTTCTTTATTACCATTAATCTGTTTTCAGTTACTTCATTACATAATCATCCAATGTGTTTTTTTAATTCCATGAGCTCTAATCACTATTTCATTGTTCTGGAACCTTCCCTCTCAAACTTAATTTATTCGAAACAAAACTTTGCGACCTCATTAACTCTATCGGAATCTTCGCAACATCATGATACATATATTCATCCTTAATCACGCTCTTATGTGTATGTATGTCAATAACTGTAAAGCCTTAATTTCGAACATTTTAGGTTGTAAGCAGCTGATGAGAACCTAACGAAATAAATTAAATCTGTATTATTCTTCACCAATCTTTGTTCTTGCTATCTTTAAAATAATAAAGGGGAATTATGTGTATAAATTAACAAGCTATAATTGTCAAAATTTTAAAGATGTTCTTGAAAACACATAGAAGAGAACGACTGCAAAACTATTTCATTACACATCTGTAGTGTGGCGTCCAGTTACGTTTGACTATGATCACCACCACAGGAAGACTACATGCCAGTTAACTGATAAGATCCCCCGTAAGAATGCAGTTGATGGCTGTAGTCGAGATGTCTTTGTTGGCGATCTCGTGGTATCGAAATAATATCGAGACTGTGCCAGGTTACAAGTGTGGTTACTGAGCGTAACCAAATTCGTGCAAGGTCACAGTCAACGAAAGAATGTATGTGTTTTGGTACAGTTAAGCAAATAAGTACAGTAAAAAAATCACTGGTACATTTGGTTATAATAATAATTGTTTGCATTACACCAATCGAGTTCTCTTGATAAATGTAGGTCACTACACATCTTTCTAATCCATTTACCACAACACGACATACGGAATTGTCCGATTCATCTATAGATAGCTGGGATTCTATAAATTGTATTTTTCAGGACATTCTATAGTGTACAAAATTATATCGCCTGAAAGATTCTATTGATGAGTTCGTGCAAATTTTTAATAGCGATACATATATAAAGAGCGGAAAATAACATATGAAATATAATGATATTATGTGGCTAGTTTCGTGATTGGAGTAACCACGTACTTATCAGGAATGAAACTCAGTATTATTAGTTATCCTTTTGTATCAAACCAGAACTAGTGAATGAATAATAGCACGGGAATCCATTTTATTCAACAATCTCAATTCAGTTTTTATTCAGCTGTCATAATGACGTCTTGTAATCTCACCCTCATCTACATTTATTTGAATTCGAAAACATGCTATTCACTGACAAGTTTATGCTGATTATGCTTGTGAAGTATTTGAAGCACGATATCAAAAAGAGTTTAAGTTCAGTACAGTTTTGTTGTGTTGAACCGAAATACCATTAGACTTGTAGACTGACAGCGGTGACCGTCAATTTTATTCTGGTTGGGCGGTAATGGTGTGACTTTCTAGGTGACGTCAAAGTCACACCTCACTTTTAACACCCAGCCTGGCTCGTTTTATTTCGTGATAACCGGATGAAGTGGTTCAGTTATAGTTGTCCATGAACAAGTGAAATCTGACAAAATCAATGTAGTCTATGAAAAGAATAGTGAAATACAGAAGACAACCACTACACAATGCCTAGTTAATGACATACAATCAATTATTCCATATTGATCAGCCTTGATCTTGAGAGTAAAGTGCTCAGTGTTCAACCATCTGAAGCAGGAACAACCCAGCTCTGTGAATGATCTGCCTAAGGTTAATAAATATTTAAGTGATACCATGAACCATAATAGGTTATTTGTAATAATGACAACTTTATGTAGCAATTTTTAGAGTTACTTGATTATTTCATTATACTCAGACCAAAATAGAAATTTTATCACTTTATTAAGACTGATAATAGAGCGTACTGAAACGCAAAACCGGTGAATAATAATTCAGAACATGGAAGATAAATAGTTTGAATTTCCTAAATGTACAAATGCAACAAAAGTATGACTGTTTTTACCTATGGGAATTTAAAGCTTAAAAATCTTGGACTCGATTTTTTCAAAAAGGGCAGTGATTTTTGTACTTGTTGTGATTATACTTGCTTTTGGTACTTATTGCACTAAAAAGCATTCTTGGTCTACTTTAACTAAGAGTTCTTTGGTTAAAGTTTGAAATTTTTTGCTACATTTTGTCCTGGGTACCTGTTTTTAGTCCTTGACTAAGACCTGTGTTCACATTGTTATCGTTTTTTGTTTTTAAACCTTTTAAATCGAATTACAATGGTTGGTAAGACTCACAAATGTGGGCAACCAAATTGTTTGTTCTCCGTTGATGAGGGAATGCAGTGTGACGACTGTAAAAAGTGGTATCACAAAATGTGTACACGACTAAGTCCGACGGCTTATAAAAGATGCTCGAAGCCTAACTCGCATTGGCTTTGTGTGTTCTGCTGTACGGATAAAAAGGTACTAATACAGGAGGCTATGGGCCTATTGGCTTTGGCCTGCAAGAAAAACGATGGTGGAAGCACTGATAACAGGAGTACTGACGATGAAGAATGTGTCAGTGTAGTAAGTGCTGCTACTGGACCCATTAAACACCTGACTGCGGTTGACGGGAACGTGAAATCTCCGTTGACATTAACGAGAAATGAAGTGTCGCCTGATATTGACATCGGCAGTCATACACCCCTAGTCGAAATAGAAGATCCGGATAAAACTGTCACCGTTCCACATAGTCCAGGTGTGGCTGTTCTGAGTGGTGACAAATGGACTCCGGTAAGAAGAAAAAAAAATAAGAAGAAAAAGGCTGTAGGCAAAACGCAGCTGGTCAGCAAGACATTGGAAGGGACTTTATCAGAAGAAAAATCCTCACCGCGTGAAAAGACAGATCTCTCTGAGAGATCAGTCATTTTTCATAAGATAAGAGAATCTTCAGACACTGAACCAAAGGCAAGATTTGAACATGATCTCAATCATATTAAGACATCATTAAGTAAACTACTCCCAGATACAGTTTCAGGAGTTAGTATTTGTAAGCTTTATAGAATAGGAAAAAGGTGGATTCCGAAAGTCCTCAGAAAAACCGCCTCCTAAAAGTTACATTCAACACGGTGGAAGAAAGGAACCTGGTTCTAAGTAATTCACGTAAACTGATTGGGTCCGGAATATATGTCCGTGAGGACCTCAGCCTAGCTGATCGTATTAAGAGAAGGGCTGCAGAAGCGGAAATAAACGAGCGTCGCCGAAATGGTGAAAGAAACCTCGTTCTTAAGGGTTTTCAGATTGTAAAAGTTCGGAGCAAAACGATCCCCAAGCCACTCTGGGTGGCAAGGGAAAGCTCTCCACAGACTTAAAAGTGTGCTACACAAATGCTCGCAGCCTACTAAATAAAATGGCGGAGCTGAAGTCAGTGGTGGATAAAGAAAAACCGGACGTTATCGCTGTCTCGGAAACTTGGTTAACGTCAGAAGTATTAGATAGTGAAATCCAATTGGCTGGTTTCATAACCAGTAGGGCTGATAGATTAAACCGAAGGGGAGGCGGGGTTATTGTGTACACGAAAAGTAGCCTAACCATAAGATTAGCTGAGACAGTAGCACATGTTTCAGGGACATGTGAACTGGTGAGATGTAAGTTGAAATGCCGAAGGCAAGATATTGAATTAGTTGTAGTTTATCGCAGTCCCGAATGTGTAGCAGATGATTTTCTCCTCAGTAAACTTAAGTCCTGGTGTAACAACGGTAAAAGCCTTGTAGTAGGCGACTTTAATGCACCATATATAAACTGGGTTAACTTAGAAGTAGAGTCATCTATATCGTCGTTCGACTCCAAACTGTTAGAAACCTCGATTGGACTAGCATTATTCCAACACATTAGAGATCCCACAATGTACGACTTAAGAAACTCTTCTTCTCTTTTAGACTTAGTCTTTACACACGGTGATGACGTTGGTCAAAAGGCTTTTCTCCCACCACTTGGGAGAAGTGACCATGCAGTCATCTTATTCAAATTCATGGCTGAGATTGCTTGTCAAACAATTGCGCCGGCCCGTCCTAACATATGGAAGGCAGATATGCAGGCAATTAACTCCGCAGCATCGGCTGAGAACTGGGAAATTGACTCAAAGGCATCAGTACAAGAGGCATGGACTCTATTCAGACAGTTATACAATCGGGTAACTCAACCATATATACCCTGGACTGTCCCAAAGAAAAAGAAGCACGGACATCCCTGGTTAGGGCGGGATATTCGACGCTTACTAAGACAAAAAAAGAAATGCTGGGATGTTGCCATCCTCCTTGGCACAGCAGGTACGATGGAACGCTACAGATCGATAAGAAACGTGTGTATAACTAAAATTCGGGAAGCGCAAAGAAAATACGAAATGCAGCTGGCAGAATCTGCACTCAAGCAGCCCAAGAGGATATTCTCGTACATAAACTACAGAACAAGGACTCATCACTGGATTCCCAACCTAATTAAAGTAGGAAGTAAATCTGAAATGATAGAGGAAGATCAGGAAAAAGCTGAGATTATGGCTGACTACTTTGGGGCAGTTTTCACTCAGGAACCTCCTCTAGAGAAAGAACCAGACCCAATTACAGAGTTAACAAACCAGCTGCTCACCGTGGACTTCGACCAAAACGATGTGCTTAAGGCTCTTAGCACCCTAAACATGGAGAAGTCAACAGGACCAGATGAACTACACCCTAAAATCTTGAGACATATTGCCCAATATATCGCATCCCCACTGACTGTGATATTCAAAATGTCACTTGACCAAGGTGTGTTACCTATGGACTGGAAGGACGCAATCGTCACTCCCATACATAAAACTGGTCTACGACAAGTTCCATCAAATTACAGACCCGTAAGCCTCACCAGTGTTGTAATTAAAATACTGGAAGGGATAATCAAACGGACCATAACGGCATTTATGGAAACCAATAACTTGCTGAACATGGCACAACATGGTTTTAGAAAGGGTCTATCCTGTACAACGAACCTCCTTATAGCTAGGGAGCTCTGGATTAATGCGCTAGACAACGGAAACTCAGTGGATGTTGTCTACATAGACTTCAGTAAGGCTTTTGACAAGGTGCCAACTAATAGACTGCTATTGAAGTTGGCAAACCTTGGTATTGCCGGACCTCTTTTAAAATGGATTAAGGATTTCCTAGTAGGTCGTAGGCAAAAAGTAAGAATAAATTCCAAGTGCTCCATCTGGAGACCAGTACTTAGTGGAGTACCCCAAGGTTCCGTCCTAGGTCCTTTACTTTTTATAATGTACGTTAATGATCTTACAAGTATAGTACAGTCTCCAATGTTATTATACGCTGACGATGTAAAAATTTGGCGAGTAATAACTGGTGACACAGACGCATTTACTCTTTAGGCGGACTTAAATAATATGATAAACTGGTCTAAAGAGTGGCTAATGCCTATCAACTCGGAAAAGTGTGTCTACATGCACTTGGGGGATTCAAAGGTTAATACGTACAACATAGGGGATGTGTCATTACCCATAGTCCGGTCTCATAAGGACCTAGGGGTGACAGTGAGCAATGATCTTAAGACGACGGCCCATTGCCGGGAGGTCGCAGTTAAGGGGTTTCGAACCCTCTGGGCTTTAAAAAGGACATTCACTAAGCTTGATACTACCATGTTCACCACATTATACACATCCTTAGTGAGAACTAAGTTAGAGAACTGTGTTCAGGCTGCAAGCCCCTGTTTAAAAGGTGACTCAGACATACTAGAAAAGGTACAGAGGGCAGCTACGCGTGCGATTCCGGAACTCCGGGGTTTATCATATGAAGAGCGGCTTGAAAAACTGAACCTCTTTACTCTGTCCTATCGCAGACTAAGGGGAGATCTAATATTGATGTACAGAATACTAAGAAATGATTTCGGACCTAACTTATTCTCTCTCTTCCTTCCCACTAGATCGGGACACCTCAGAGGACATAGCAGGCGAGTAGAAAAGCCAAGAACGAACAAAATACCCCTGGCATACAGGTTTTCACACCGAGTCATCAATACTTGGAACCTGCTGCCTGAAGCAGTGGTATCCGCACCTTCAATTGACTCTTTCAAGAGAAGACTGGACACTCACAGAAGCATACTAGAAAAGGAATAACATAGGCCGTAGGCCTTCTGTCCTTACTACACAAATCTGAAATCTGAAATCTGAAATCTGATTTGCATGATGGTGGCCCTTTCAAACGTTTGCGCTTCGCTGATACTCATGGCTTTCTAGGGCCCTTACCAATCACGTTGGTCACGTCTTCAGGGTCCTCATGTAAGTTGATTGACAATAAGTTTTGAAGTAGCAACTCAAGAGATTGCTTAAGGCCCAATGGCTTCGATTTTTTTGTTACGCCTACACCAAAATAAATTGAAAAGTGATGATAAGGCTGAACATTCAGAAAGTATAGGTGGAAAGATATCAGTTTGTCTCCTTCGTTCCTCATCCTGGAAGAATTAGTGGAAGTTTTTCTGTCGTTTCCTTGATGAGGGGGAATATCTCAAAAGCTAAACCTTAGACTTCGGTTAACTCCTTCAGATGAACCCTAAATTGTCTCATTTTCCCCTGTATTCACACCAAATTGTTTGCTTTCCTTGGAACGTGCCACTAGCCTAAATGTAAGCTTAATAGTCTAATTTCTGCACGGTTTGTATATTTCCTCCCAAATTGACACTAAGTAGTCCAAAATCCCCTAAATACCTCGGCAGTTATTTTTTAATTCTTCGGGCGAATAAAGTTTCTGTGACGACACAAAAAAATGGTCTATATGAGAAAAACGATCCACTTAAATTACACTTTCAGTTTCTGAAGTTGTTTATATCCGGGTCACAGTCAACTGAAATATTATGACTGAAAAATTTTACTTTCCTCATCCAAAACTGAAGTAAATTGAGCATTTTAAACAAGATTTCCCAAAAACATATATAGGGGAAATCTCATTTCAAGAAAACTGTTAATTCATGCAAGCTTTTTTTTGTTGCGTCTGGTTCACTTTAACTCAATAAATCCAATTGAAAATGTGGATGTATGTTAAGGTAAACTCACTGAACAGAAATGGATAACAGTATACAAAATAAAAGTAGTAAAATCCTAAATGTCAACCATTCTTCGATTGCCAGTAAGAAGAACTTGAGTCCTGAAGTGGGACACTAATTAACGGTTACTAAAGGGTTCTTGTTAAATCTTGAAAAACTCGTTACAAATTAAGACTTACTCTAGTACCGAAAAGTATGTACCTGCGTCAAAAAGGGAAAGCAGAAATTAACAGTGATAATTATAACGTTATCATCACTTCGATAACAACTTGTATACACCTTATCCCTCGTGTTATAAAAGTAACGTTGCGTTGAGGCATCGTAAAATTTGGCAAGATCTTCACTAACATTGGATAAAAATGATTGCTGTGGTAATGTACTTAGTACATGTCACAGAAAGGTGACTGTATACTGTCGTGAAATCTTGACTTATAAACACTCTATTTTGTGGTAGTCCTCATTAGCGCAAATGTCTTACTGATTTTTTCGGCTGGTTATTCATCTGCCTAATTACCGTCATCGTCTGAAAAGCAGAAAAAATATAAAATTAGTTGGCTTACAGATTTATCTTAACCATCTACTTGTGCTTATACACCAAAAACGATTGACCAACTGCAGTCTCAAACACCAGGACTACGTTCTTTTTAAACACCTGTTTGGATACGTTTTACCTCACTGTATAAGAATTCTCACTAAAAATATTTTAGGTATGTGCTCTTGTACTTGCACTGGTTTCCTTTAGTTGTACACATTTGTATTTTCGTCAAAGGTTTCTAATCGTTTCAGTGTACCTTTTTATATGACCTCAAGATATCATGGTTCACTTAACATAACATCGTCTTGATTTAATTGTTGACAATTTTCACCGTTCATAATATTGCATCATACTCTTCCGTATCTAGTTCTATTTTATGACATACTCAGTACTAGTTTTACTCAGGATTATTTTTTTATTTTTTTAAATAGAAAATATGTTTGTGTCAAGCAGTATTCATGCTAATCACGCTGATTTAATTCATGATGTAGCCTATGATTTCTATGGTCGACGCATGGCAACTTGTAGTAGTGATCAAATGATTAAAGTACGTGTATACTGTTTCGAAAAATACTTGTGATATGCAAAATTTATTATTTTGTTGGGATTATATTATGAAGCCGGTTTTTAATGATTAGTTTTTAATTTTCGAAATCAGTGTATACAACACTAGTCGATAGATAGACGCAATAATATGAGGTGTAACCGAGTAATAGCTGGTCAAAAGAATTAATCATTGACTTGAACCCCCGAACAACTATAAATCGAAAACAAGACCACTAAGCAGATGAATAGATAGAATTTTTACTTAATAGGACAACATGCTTGTACACGAAATACGAACACAAAATAAACTTCCTAAAATATCACAGGCGAAAAGAGAAAATCAGCTTGTAGATCACTCATTCTCTAATCAATTAAGATCTAACTATTAGGCCTAATTTTTGGACATCCCACCAAACTGTTAGATAATAATAAATGATCTGAGCAATGGCCTAAGAATATAACATCGTCTAAACTGCAGGTTACTTTCATATATCAGTTGAGTCTGATTTAGTGATTCGAAGTTCGGCGAGACTCTAATTTATGGACGAGCCAATCAGCAGCTTTTTAGAGATTTCAAGGTTACAGTGCCAACTTCAGTGCTTAATGCTGACGTACGATCGGTTCACAGGGAATTTTGTACAAAACGTGATAATTGAGTGGCTATAACAAATAAAACGACGAGACTATAATTTGCGGACGAATCAGTCAGGTATAAGATAATAGATCTCGGATTTTAACGCGAGAGCCTTTCATCCATTTGGCTAAATAAATTTCTGGCATTATAGCTGATGTTTGTTCGTGATGAAAACCCCATATATAACTCCTAACTAAAACAAAGTACGACACTTATTGCCGACTGGATATTGAAAGTAACAGTAACATTGGCTGCAGCCAGATACTACAATGTATACGGATGTTTAGAGAGCGTACAGACTCCCACATAGGCCTGGTTATGTGCATCGTGTTGTTATCCACAAGTAGCATTTTGTGCACTCAACAACCGGAGTGCACATAAACAATATTGAAGCTATGTGGTCGAGGCTGAAAGAGTTTTTGAGACTTTATCATGACTCCAGAGGCCGACTATTCTGTAGCCGTATGAATGATTTTCTCTACTGCATGCATTACGATTTTAGAACCTCTGAACTTCTTTCTAACTTTGACAAGTTTTTGAACCACGTATAAGAATTGTATTCACTTTATTTCCTTGGCTTTGTATAACATATTTGTACTCTATACTGACTGTTTGCTGATTGGTTAATATTTCTCAAGGTCATTTAAGATTCGTTCAAAGGTCGTCCATAAATCAGAGTCTCGCCGAAAACTTGAATAGGCTCTTAGGAGTCAGTAATTGAATATCCTAACAGACATGTCTTGTTATTGATCTCAGTGGCTCATATTCATCCACTTTATTTTCCTCATATTTTAAATCATAGATATTTTCCCGTCTGTTATTTACTTAGCGGTCAGGTTCTTGTTATTATTCTTTGGTTTCGTGTTGATTTCCTAATTATTTTGAGAACTGAATCACCATCACTGAGTATTTTCATTTCAGCGTTTTCTGAAATTTGTGATAAAGTATAGAATAACCATGTACTCATATATGAACTACACTTTAAGTTTGACAGCTAATTATACTATCCGGTCGCCCAAACACAAGTGGGGCAGGGTTCAAACTTGGGAATTAATGACTGAAAGTCGGACTGATGGGTTCGGGCCAAACATACTGTTCACATTACTGACCAATCATCTTATGATCCTTTCCACTTATTACTAGTTTGTCAGATACTGTGAGTAATTAGTTTTCTGGAAAGCAGTCATTCCTGCCAATTCGCTATTTCATGTGACGTCCAATAAATTTATATAAATACTTTCTCTATACATGTTTTTTAGTACTTTTTAAAGATTCTATCACTTCACGTAGTTATAAAGGGCATGAATCTAAGAAATTTGTGCATATACGCTTTGAAAGTTACAAATTACTTTGTGTTAAACAAAAGCTCTGAAAACATATTCTTAAATAATGATACTTTATCCCATAACATTTATAAAATAATTTTTCCTTTTTTGAAATAAAAATGATAGAATTTTAGTGATGTATGCAAGTTCTATTTCCAAGCATTGTATATCATAATGTAGATGAAAGTATCGTTTGAAAGACTCTTAGTTCTTGTTTTCTCGTGTTTACTAATTTCAATTTAGTTATTTTCAAACCGGTCTCATAACAGTTAACTATTTTATTTATTGTACAACCAGTATAATTATAGTGTGACCACATTTCCTATTATTCATTATTTCTAAATGTTAGAAACTGAAAATCCTTGTTCATCTTTTTCCAGGTGGTCAGTTCGGAGTAGGTAAACATATTGACTTTGAATAAGCAGTTTTAGGAGAAAGAGTAAACATGATCTTTTATTCAAACTTATAGGCATAATTAGACAGATATAAATAACAATTCAAATGTAAGTCATTTGATGAAAGAAGATCAATTGCTTACATAAGAATACCATTTCAAACCATCTATTGACTACATAAATCATTAAATGAAATCTAGCTCAAACTCATCAGTTCAAGTTACCACATTTTCCAGTCATAAAAAAGTCAGTAGAACTACAAAATCATAAAACATGCGAGAGATGATACAGTCTCTGTCATCTCGAGGACCACGCTCAGAGCGTGTGTACTGTTTTCGTGACTCAGTAACAGCTCAGTACTTTATATTCTGATCCATCGCAGATTCTGTAAAATTTGTTTTTCTAGTTGTTACCACTTCCGTTAGAGCTGTACCATATCGTATGCTCATGTCTCTCTTCCTCGGTTATTTGTATTAAATTCAAGTACAACTATTCGGTAAAAGCACTCATCCGAAATCTCTTTACTTTACTTTTCTGTTTATCTCCACTGATGACAGTGATGTTTAATTTGTGAATGAAGTGACCATCCAGTTAAATTCAAGGCAAGAGGAAAACTTTCTCAACACCATCTATAATTTATAAATTTCAGGAGTACTATGTAAAACACTCTGTTCAAAAGATTTTATTACCCACAAAATGAGGAAATCATCGCTCATTATTTCAGTTTTTTGCTTAACATTTTCTAAATCAATTTAGAAAACATCTTAAAGAGTAGTTTATTGATTGATTCACTTCCATATAACTTTCAACTAGTGTTTATCTGTTTGTTTAATTTCGTCGAAGAGAAGGAGCAGTGTTGAATTTGGCCTTAAATATTTAAGCTTATTTTTCCAAATGGTATACTATTTTACTGACTCATCATACTATTTATTGTCTTTACGTTGTAATTTTCTCCCTTTTTAAGTGATAATATTGCGGTATTGATAAGATTACTGAAACCTCAATAGGTTATTATTATTATTATTATTATTATTGTTATTATTACTATTATTATTATTGTTATCGTTACATGGGGAATATAAGCTGAATAGTTCTTTATTTAACATAATTATTCCTTAATACTTATTGTTATTGTTTTTGTGGTTTATACTAATAATGTTTTGTTGACCTTTTATCTCATGATAGTAAGGAGTGTTCTTTTAAATTCCCTTTATTATCGCTTACCTGTGTTATTGTTATCACGCATGGTTGAGGAGCTTACTGCTATAGTAACCATATCTTACAAATGTTGTCATAATTCAACTACTAAACATTATTGATAATAACTTATTATAGCGTTTTTTTTAATAAGTGACTTTACACAACCTTCTAATGGTTGAATTATATTTCATAGTTATTATTTCCACTTAGAAAGCCTCAACCATCGAGTCATGCTATTCTTATTCATCTTTGTTTATTGCCCATTTGTATGTCTGGGTCATATATGGATTCATTTTTAATATTCCTTTGAACAGATTCATCATTTATTTAACTATTTTGTTTATTTTTATTGCACTAATTAAGTATATGGTCATTCATAATTTATACATAATTATGCTCAATCATTACTCCTTTGGTGGAACCAACAAGTTGGGTGTATTGATGGAGGTGCAGTAATTTGGACCAGTACATATTTATACTATCAAATGCGTTATCCACGACTGACTGATTTAAAATATAACTGTTGTTCATAACAAAATCGTTCATTTCATGTTATTCTGCAAATCTCTTCTAATATTTTAAACACTATCGGTTACAGAAAAACGAAACAACTTCGTGCTGTTGATTAAAATACATTAAGTATATTCAAAGTTTATGTAAAATGTCTATATGCCTTTTAAAGTTGAAAAGGTGACTGTAGAAGTCATTATTCTAACTATTTCCACTATTCCGTCTATCTAGTTCGATTATAAGTGTTCTATTCGCTAAAAGAGACTATATAGCTGCAAAGGGATGTATTCATTGAATGTCTGTACGAAACGGAAATAATGAGTTCACGTAGCTTCGTTTCCGTGAAAAAAAACGAGAAATTCGATCCGCTCTCATCTGATTCGTGTAAAGCAACAGAGAAGAGGAATTCTTCTCCCAAAAAGTTTGTTTTGATATTTGTCTGTGTTCTGAAAAAAATTTAAAATATTTATATTTCAAACTAGAAATTTAGAGGCCTCAACTTTTGAAACCATCTGGATATTTTTCTTTAAAATGTCGTTTCGGTATATGTTTGTATTCTAGTTATGTCATTTGTCCTTGGCCTTCCCCTTCTAGCCAAAATAGTTGGTAAAGCCGGCAGGTTCTTCTGGAGAAGATAAATAAATGGAGGCGCGTCACAGCTACCGGGTCGTAATAATTGTTTCTGCATTTGATTGTTTTGTTCTTGATCTTATTTCCCGTCCGGTAATTCCTGACCATCACTGTACTACATAGCAGTGATTGATTATTCCTTTCTTTGTTAAAAGTTTCTTTTTGCATCCGTTGTATGGGCATTAATGTAATTTATTTGTTGTTTCTATGTTATGGCTTCGTGTTGTTTGATCATATATATTCGTGCGATTTTGTGTTTCGCCTATTGAGATGGTTTGTGTGTGTTGAGGATGACATGTTAGATGTCGTTTTACCCACCCAGCTGTATTATAAGATTTGTTGCAGCCATCCAGTGGAAATTTACGTTCTGTCATAATTGTAGTATTTTCACAAGGTTGATGGTCATTCCTCATGTTTGTTTATGTCTCCGGTGACAAAGCCTGTAAAAAAGCTAGATAGCTAAAAAGACATTTAGCTAATTACATAGATTCAGCATTTCAAAAATCAACTTTAAATTCTAAATATTTTTCAAGGCACGGGGGATTAAATCAAAAATATAATGCAAACGGTAATAATTTTCACATCCGTTATTTGTTTGTAATTCTCCACCTCTTTTCGTTTGTATTCTTCACAATCTAATTATTTACACACTTCTTATTATGTAATGATTTTAATGTTTTGTGATGATTATTTCAAGTCTATTTACCCACGTTTGACCTTCTATTTCCAACGTTTAACTATTAATAAGACTTTTGTGATCATATTTTGTTATTCTTACTACTATCAGTACACACAGTCTTCCTACTATCAACTTGTATGTTTACTTATCATGTGTGGTGACTTATTCCATTTCATTGTGATTATTGACCCAAATTGCCTTGATTGGTTTAACATTTTCGTATAAATATTCATTTATATTAGAGTAAAGCCTGATGACGATCTAATTGCAAACAATTGTTCACTTATATGTGTTGTTCCAAACGGTAATTCGCAATCATAAGGAATTAACAACTCGTGGAAACATTATATGTGATCTTATTTTCTTCCATAATCCATACTTCGTTTTGTCATCTCGTATACCTTAATAGTTGCCATATATGTATATCATACTAAGTATTATCGTATTTTCAACTTTGTGACTGATAAAGGATTACTCACAGTTATTGGTATATTTTAAGGTAGAAGGAACACTGCAATATTTCTTTAGCTTTCTACATTAATGGTTAAAATATTTTTATAAATTCTTAGATTTGGGATTTAAAGGACAATGAAGAATGGGTATGCACTGCTTCATGGCGATGTCATTTAGGATCAGCATGGCGTGTTACTTGGGCACATCCTGAATTCGGTCAGGTTATCGCTACCTGTTCATTCGATCGTACAATAGCTGTATGGGAGGAAATCGCAGGCACTCAAGTAAGTAATTTCGCGAATTCTTAAAGATCCTTGCAAACTATGTAAAATAGAGACATGTAATGGAATTTCTAGTCATTGGCCTACAGTATATTTATAATCTGTTTATAGCTAATTAACTCTTTATAATTTGTAGTCATTTATGCACATACATGCGATAGAACTATGCAGTCACCTAAACATTTTATTTCCCCATATTCGTTATCGATAAGAAACTTTTTGCAAAATTAAGAAGTGAATTGTAGATTGTAGGAGTAGGTTGTAGTTCCCTATGACTCGTTCAAGTATCTACAATTGTAATGTTCTTGTTTTTATGCTTAATTACTAGTTCCGTTTGTGTTTGATCTAATCTGCTCTTGATTTCTACTTTTTTTATTTTACCTAGACTATAACAAGTGGTGGTGAAAATGATGGTGGTACCAATCAAACTCCTTCAACTGTAACAAACATTACATATGGAAGTCAGTCAGCAAACACTAATTGGATAAGACGTGCCTACCTTGTTGATCCACGTACTTCTGTGACTGGTCTACAATTCGCTCCAAGACATCTAGGTCTTCAGTTGGCTGCTATTTCTACAGATGGCATGTTGCGGATTTATGAAGCACTGGTAAGCAGGTGTCTTCTTTGTTAAATATATGTTTGAATTCCACTACGTAAGCATTATTGTAATGGTAATTTCGATAATTCTTAGTCGTTTTTTTTTAGAATTAGCTGTTGAATTCATTGAAAGTAATACGATAATCAGAATGTTTTAAAGAGAAAACTTGGTGGGAAAAAGCGGCACCAGTTTCTTCAATCTCTTTGATGCTTACTAAATGTCCAAGTTAATATGACATTTTTCTGCATACAGTTCAGGATTTCAAACTTTATAAAGTTAAGCATACACATTAGATATAAAGTAGCTTAGTTCATTTTTAAAGCAGTCCTGTTTATACACTAGTTGTTCACCACCGATTGTTCGAATTTTATAATCTAAATCGTATCAGTTATCAATGAATACTGTATTTTTTATCAGAATGGGTTTTGTGGAGAATTTTAGAAATTTCACAGGTTGAAATCATGAATCAGTTGAAGCTAGACCACCATGGAAAACCTGGAAGCACTGTATTTTTTCTTTCTCTTTGCTCTTATCGTTATCCATATAATTAAAAAAATCATCACATCTGAGTGTAAACATTTCTTCAAAAATATTGACATTTAATATGTAGAAAAAGCATCAAAGTCGTCTAACTGAAGTATAACACTGATCAACAAATTCGTTGACTATTCACTTAAGGTGTCTAGTTTAATTGGTCAGATGTTAGAAATATACATTTGTTGTTGAAATGGACCACAAATTATGACATGTATTCTAGTGGTAACCGATTAAAACTTACACAGTTTACTATATATAACTTGTCATTTGGTTTATATATAACCTTCCGGTATTTTAATTGGGTCCAATCAGTTAAATTTATTAAAGTGACATTGATTGAGTTTTAGAAATGGCTTGAACAAAAATTTTGTATGTAAATCGAATCCTATATCTAATACATTATTTAATACAATGATCGAATTCAAAACTGAACTGAACGCAGATGTTATGGATCATCAATCGTATAAACCAGTTTATTGTTTAGAATTCCAAATGTACTCGTAAGTCTTTATGGGATTAGAGTTGGAAAATTCAAACTATGTTACGAAAGTCAATGGTATGTTTTTGTGATGAATTTTATCGAATAAATAAACTATTCTTTAGAGGTATATTCACAGATCAGCTAATGAGAAAGAATAGCAAAATACTTACCGTTGTAAAATTAAAATAATTTATATTTCCATATTGGAAATTCTGTTTTGTTTTTCATAAAATATTGGAATTTGTTCATTCCCATTTCTGTTTTTCTTATTACCCGACTCTATTAAAGGATGTTATGAATTTAAGTCAGTGGCGTTTACAGTTTGATTTCGGTACTAAAATGGCTGGATCATGTTTAGCATGGTCTCAGGTATGTCTTGTTGATTATATTTTGTGATAAATATATTACCATAGTTGTACACATAAAATATACTTGAAAAGTATACGGTTATCGATCGTTCTTATTGATTGATTACTTTTCCCGTGCTTTATGTTTTTTTTTATCCAATACGTTCACACTATTGATTAAGATCTTGACCAGTGTCTTTGTAGTCATTATCCAGTGTTAGTGCAATCCAATAATTAAGTAGTTTATGTATGTATGCTCATCGTTCAAACACATTCATTGTGTGAGGAAGCTGATAATATTAACTAAACGAATAGCGTAACTAAATTACGTGTGGTAGAACTCAAACTAATTATTCAGAAGAATAATTTCTAAATCATGTAAGTGTCATTAATCAGTAGAATATAACAGCTTTCATATTGTCGTTGGCTAATTCTAGAAAATCAGCGTGAATTAAAAGACACGGTCGGTCCATAGTCTCTAGCATACACAAAATTAATTGAATATGGATTGTAAAGTATGTCAATCAGTCATATGTACCGTCGTTTATCAAATAAGGAAGAATTTAATCTAAAATATTTTCTAGAGTTTTTGATGTTCAGATTTTTAAATCAACTGGAAGCAGTAGGTTACTGATCATGTTCAATTTGTTGGTTGTTTACTTTTCAACTGTAGCGTGCGGCGCATAAATATCTGGTGCCCCCTTGTACCAATATTTATGTGTTCAAATAAATAAATAAGTAAAAATTTCAACTGTAGCTTATTATCTACTTAGTAGATTCGTACACTGAGATCTCTGCTCTGTATTTAGTTTTGTAAGAGTAGGAAATGTAATCAGATCTCGTTAAATAAAATTGTCTCATATACAGATTTCCATTTAGTTACGCTGTTACAATATGTATGTTGCTATTTTAACATCATATGGCACATTGTTATAAATGAAGCCGTAGATATAGATAATCACACATCCATTAGTATCCAAATGTTTAGATTGTTTTGTTTCTTAAAGTAATCAATCCATTTTCATCAATATTTTTTCAGTCACGTCTTGATCCACCTTTAATTGCTGTTGGCAGCGTTAGTCCTAATGATCCAGATACTGCGGATAATTCAGACGGTTTACCAGCACATCATTCTATGTCTCATTCAACAGCCCATCCAACAAATACTCTAGTGAACGGTAAACTTATTCTTTATGAATATTCTGAAGCTAGAAGGCATTGGTATCTTGTGGAAGATGTGCATGCACTGAATGATCCTATTTACGATGTATCATTCGCTCCACATATGGGTCAGTCATATCATACATTAGCTGTTGGATCTAAAGAATTGTATATATTAAGAATTAGACCGTTTAACTCCAATCAATCTTCTAATTCACTGATGAAAAGTAAGTTAAATATTCACTTTTTTATACATGATTTTACTAGACAGCTTTTTTAAGAACTGGGTTCGCCTATAAGTGTTTTTTTTAATATCATATTTTATCTGTTCATCATTTTCACTATCAATTAGAGTTGGAGATAGAATTTTGCATAACTTCATGTGGTAGTTTATACTTTTAAATTCGTAAGTTGTAACCAAGTGCAAATGACAAATTATGAAAAATATCATAAATTCTTTAAATTTCATCCACTTCTGTCTAGTTGTATCAAAAATAAATAAATAAATGCTAACCATCACTTACAATTTAGATTAACGTACTATTCACTTGATCTAGCTGATAGTACAGTCTATAGTCCTGAACTGTATTACTTGTAATAGACGTTAATCTTGTCAGGAAGCAGTGGTTTGACAAAAATTTCAGTTAGGTAACTATTGGGAGTCAAAGGATACTGAAAAGTTCATTTCTCCATTTTGTTATGGGTCATATTTGTTCAGTATCAAATTATAATTTTAAATTTTAAAAAAGTACGTTTTAGCTACATATACACAACAAATAAACTCTATAAAAGTATTTTGTTTCCCTCCCAATTACCAACCTGTCCAAAATAATTCTTTGATATAAAAAAATATATTGTCAAATGTAATAATTGCTTATATCGTTCTAGGTAAAGATTTAAGTCCTAACTTAAAATAATATAAATACTATAGTGAATGTACAATCTATTGCCTATTTAAATACACTAGATGAATAGATTACCCGTTGGGAGTGTTAAAGACAAAAGATACTGGGTTCATTAATACTGAAATTCAGTTACTTTCAGTTGATGAGTTCCAGTTAGAATAAAAGCACATTATGGACTCCACTGCTAGTCAACAGTTATCAATTTTCTAAAACTTGTGATAACTTCCTGTTCTGTTTCTTTTTAGTCCACAACTTAATATGTTCCACTTTAAGTTAACCCGTCTTCCGATGTATATTTATATATAGGAAAATGAAAAATGATAAAAATTAAGTAAATTATTTAGAGAGAGAGAACTTTTGATTCTAATTATTTATTTTTCCTAAACATTGTTTTTAAACCTAATCGATTTATTTTTGTTCCTTAGTTAATTTAGTTACAGCTATTCCAGCATTCAAGAGATTCACTGTAAACTAGAGGTTAAACCAGTTTTTTATAATTTTAAATGTTACTCTACGTTGGTCTAGGTAACCGGTTAATATCACTAGCTCAAAATTAAGTACATAGATGTGTAAATAAGTTAAATTACATCATGTGGATAGTATTTTAAGTCTCAATATTATTACTTTCTATTTCATACTTGTTGTCTCGATCTGTTATGAAAATAGTTCATTAATTTAAAAAAGTAAACAACAAGAAAGTTGATATAACGAAATAATTAAAATATTTTTCTCTTGCCACGATATGCTACTTTAATATGATGATGCACCCGGTAACCGATATTATATTACCACTAGACTAGATACTCGATCAGTACGCTATACACAAACTGGATCACGTTATACCAGATACACGATTCATAACCAAACATAGGGAACCAGACTAAAGACTGAACAATACTTTATTCAACATAATTATAAGCAATTTACAGTTAGTGAGTACAGAGTAGAAATCAATAGTAAAACGGAAAACACAAATTATACAGTCAGTAAGTTGCGGTCAGTCACATTCACTAGCCACACAGGAATGCTTCGTCTTTTTCAAAAAAATTAAGTGTCTTTTATTAAGAGAAAGTGTATTTTATATTAAAAAGTCCCTAAATTAGCCTGCATAATTAAACACTACTTCTCTACGATTTTTTCTTACCTCTTAATAGATGATAATTCTAGTTCCAATAATTTGTCATTGTCAAGATCGAATCTACCTATACGTAATCCGTATGAAATTAGAATGATGGCACGTTTTGATCATCATGAAGGACGAGTTTGGCATGTTTCTTGGAATGTAACTGGTAAAGTTTAACAATTTTTGTTATAGTTAAAAAGATGTTTACAAAGAACCCAACTGATAAGCTATGTGATACTCTTTAATTGTATGCAATTTTTTAGTTTACAAACTGGTGACAAGTAGCTTCATTAAAATTTTGCAGCACATTTTTGTGCGTATATATGTTCACCTTTTCATTCGTCTATTTTGTTTGAAATCTAAAAATATTAGTTGAAATCTGGGTTTTGATAACAAGTTTGACTTTGGTCCACTGCCTTAATCAAACTGTCAAGGAGTAGATCCCCAATAAAACTACCTGTCTCGGTGTAGCCGCTCAGACAGTATCCCAGCCCACATGTAGATATGTTTGTATAACGCATTCTATTTTTGGTGCCCAGTTATATCAGATTTTATGTGAATTAGAAAAATCATACATATACAAATATCCTACAATAGGTTGAATGTATAAATCACTACACTACATAAACTTTTGCTAACCTATCGTCAGTGAATTGTTACATGCTTTTTTCTTTGAAAAAACATTCATTAGGTTCTTTACTTGCATCGTCTGGCGATGATGGCTGTGTACGACTTTGGCAAGCTAATTATCTTGGTGTATGGCTTCCAGTTTCAGTTATTAGTCCAGATGGTAGTCGTTGTGCTACAATACCTAATGGACAAAATAGTCTATCAAATTGTATACTAAAATCATGTTCTTCAGGTCCACTGAAGCCATCATCTGTTTCATCATCAGCTTCACCTATTCGTTTATCGAATTCCACAACTCAAATCAAACAAAATGAACATGTTATGGATCATACTGAACAAACGTCAAACGCTAATCTACGTAAGAATATGCACTGATGTTTTTATTTTATACTGAGAAATTCAATTGTATCATTGTATTGTTTCTATTTTTATATGATAAATGTACTGCATTTTCTATTCAGCTTAATGTTCATTTAATAAAAACTCAACACATAATCGTCATTGTGTAGTCGGTGATGATCATTATCAAGGTTCGTTTTGATAATTGAGCATTGGGTAGATTTCTAGTTAAGAAGCGGTTTACACTGAGCTATGAGATATCAGAAATTTAATTTTCTACACATTGGAAAATTATATATATATATATATATATATATATATATATATATAGATAGATAGATAGATAGATAGATAGATAGATAGATAGATAGATAGATAGATAGATAGATAGATAGATAGATAGATAGATAGATAGATAGATAGATAGATAGATAGATAGATAGATAGATAGATAGATAGATAGATAGATAGATAGATAGATAGATAGATAGATAGATAGATAGATAGATAGATAGATAGATAGATAGATAGATAGATAGATAGATAGATAGATAGATAGATAGATAGATAGATAGATAGATAGATAGATAGATAGATAGATAGATAGATAGATAGATAGATAGATAGATAGATAGATAGATAGATAGATAGATAGATAGATAGATAGATAGATAGATAGATAGATAGATAGATAGATAGATAGATAGATAGATAGATAGATAGATAGATAGATAGATAGATAGATAGATAGATAGATAGATAGATAGATAGATAGATAGATAGATAGATAGATAGATAGATAGATAGATAGATAGATAGATAGATAGATAGATAGATAGATAGATAGATAGATAGATAGATAGATAGATAGATAGATAGATAGATAGATAGATAGATAGATAGATAGATAGATAGATAGATAGATAGATAGATAGATAGATAGATAGATAGATAGATAGATAGATAGATAGATAGATAGATAGATAGATAGATAGATAGATAGATAGATAGATAGATAGATAGATAGATAGATAGATAGATAGATAGATAGATAGATAGATAGATAGATAGATAGATAGATAGATAGATAGATAGATAGATAGATAGATAGATAGATAGATAGATAGATAGATAGATAGATAGATAGATAGATAGATAGATAGATAGATAGATAGATAGATAGATAGATAGATAGATAGATAGATAGATAGATAGATAGATAGATAGATAGATAGATAGATAGATAGATAGATAGATAGATAGATAGATAGATAGATAGATAGATAGATAGATAGATAGATAGATAGATAGATAGATAGATAGATAGATAGATAGATAGATAGATAGATAGATAGATAGATAGATAGATAGATAGATAGATAGATAGATAGATAGATAGATAGATAGATAGATAGATAGATAGATAGATAGATAGATAGATAGATAGATAGATAGATAGATAGATAGATAGATAGATAGATAGATAGATAGATAGATAGATAGATAGATAGATAGATAGATAGATAGATAGATAGATAGATAGATAGATAGATAGATAGATAGATAGATAGATAGATAGATAGATAGATAGATAGATAGATAGATAGATAGATAGATAGATAGATAGATAGATAGATAGATAGATAGATAGATAGATAGATAGATAGATAGATAGATAGATAGATAGATAGATAGATAGATAGATAGATAGATAGATAGATAGATAGATAGATAGATAGATAGATAGATAGATAGATAGATAGATAGATAGATAGATAGATAGATAGATAGATAGATAGATAGATAGATAGATAGATAGATAGATAGATAGATAGATAGATAGATAGATAGATAGATAGATAGATAGATAGATAGATAGATAGATAGATAGATAGATAGATAGATAGATAGATAGATAGATAGATAGATAGATAGATAGATAGATAGATAGATAGATAGATAGATAGATAGATAGATAGATAGATAGATAGATAGATAGATAGATAGATAGATAGATAGATAGATAGATAGATAGATAGATAGATAGATAGATAGATAGATAGATAGATAGATAGATAGATAGATAGATAGATAGATAGATAGATAGATAGATAGATAGATAGATAGATAGATAGATAGATAGATAGATAGATAGATAGATAGATAGATAGATAGATAGATAGATAGATAGATAGATAGATAGATAGATAGATAGATAGATAGATAGATAGATAGATAGATAGATAGATAGATAGATAGATAGATAGATAGATAGATAGATAGATAGATAGATAGATAGATAGATAGATAGATAGATAGATAGATAGATAGATAGATAGATAGATAGATAGATAGATAGATAGATAGATAGATAGATAGATAGATAGATAGATAGATAGATAGATAGATAGATAGATAGATAGATAGATAGATAGATAGATAGATAGATAGATAGATAGATAGATAGATAGATAGATAGATAGATAGATAGATAGATAGATAGATAGATAGATAGATAGATAGATAGATAGATAGATAGATAGATAGATAGATAGATAGATAGATAGATAGATAGATAGATAGATAGATAGATAGATAGATAGATAGATAGATAGATAGATAGATAGATAGATAGATAGATAGATAGATAGATAGATAGATAGATAGATAGATAGATAGATAGATAGATAGATAGATAGATAGATAGATAGATAGATAGATAGATAGATAGATAGATAGATAGATAGATAGATAGATAGATAGATAGATAGATAGATAGATAGATATTCTGTTCCTTTTTATGTAATGTTGCATGTAGAGTGAGGAAGAGATTTAGATAGATTTAATCCATCAGCAGAAAACCTTTATTTATACACGTGTTTTGGTCAGTGTGATGTATCCCACCAAGTGGATGCTTTAATAGTTAACTACATTAAACAGTGGTTATCAGAAGTGTATAGCTCCTCAAACCTGTCTTATCTGAGTTTTCTACAGAAAGTATTTCGACAGCAAACAAGACTATGTAGTTGAAATTAAATATTGATACAATAGATCCTCTAAATGTATATGTTGGCCAACTATTTGAAATTATCTAAGAATTGTAGCTTGTAACAATTTAAGTACATCATCGTTTTTTTTACTTTCAAAAGAATGATTTAATTTATTAATTGAGACGGCTTTCACATTCGTAGATGTAGACAAGTTAGGACTATATGAAAAATTTAAAATAAACATGAAGATTGTACGTTCTATGTCTCTACATCGTTCTTTTAATATATATATAAAAAAGGGTCTTAGAAATAATTAAAGAAACGTCTAAAAATGTTAGATAAAGTTAATGATTGCAATGTTTAGTTGACTGTACATTGTAATTATTGTGAATATAGCCTTCATTGTTGTTTTCTTCTTAAACTCATTTTACAAAAAAGGATACTTAGAAATGTAATATTCTGGTGTCTACATCTATAAGTATTATAAGCTTAATAATGTAACATAACATTTTTTGGTTTATCTGTCTCGATACGTATTCTTAAAACTCGTTTGTCTTTTGCCAACTTACGTTATTTCCGACATAAGAAAATTGTTTGTCTATCAACCAAAGGACGAGTATATTGTTCAGCAGTTCGCTCTGTTTGACTTCATGGCTATGAAATTTAGTCTTTAAAAATATGGAACATTCATACTACGTTTATAGTCAATCGTAGATACTTCCGAAGCATTCCTCTTGTGTGTTGGGAACACTGGGTGAACGATGCTGGGACTTAAACCAGTGCACTAGTTAAGGATGCAAAATCGATTAATGTGGTAGTAAATCTTTGTTGCCCGTCTGATGTGATGTAAAAACTTGAACCGATACATCTATGTACCAGATGCTACGTTGGACATAACTGATTATCGGTGATAACCTTTAATCTATTGATAAGTTAACTTTTGTTTCATCAAAAATACTGATTCTCATCTGACATAAGATATCAGCTAACTCTGTGTGCATAAAATACGTCTAAATATTATCATTCCTTCTGGAGTTATTCGTAAATTTATGTATGCAAAAATTTTGCTATGCAATCAAAAGCTATCTTCATTTAATACTAATAAAATTTCAATAGAAAACTCCTATGTCACTTCTAATTAAGAATCATTTAAGTTTAATGATTATTTTGTTTCTTTCTTCTTGTTGTTTAGCTAAAGGGTCGCTTCATGGATGTACAGTTCCATTTCAGAAATTAGCTCCAATTCCAAATCCAAATCAACCTGGTGTATGGCATTAAATTAATTAAAGCTTTAGATGTGTTAATTTCATGTTTTACATTGTATATTTCTTTTTTTATCACTTCTGTTAAATAGAATATCTATTGTTGTAGTAATTACAAGAAATGAATTTATGATAACAAGAATAAGAATAAATTACAATCATATTTTGTGTATAATACTTTTCTTATCGTTGACATTGTTTACGCGATATGACTGGATATATATATATGAATAAAAGTTGAGTTCATCTGTTGATCAAATAGGTTATTATTTCTTCTATGGGGTTGGAAATTGTCATCAAATTGTTACTTATGGATGATTACAGTATGTAAATGAAGTATGTTGATCTTGTGGAAACAAAACTCAGACATAAAACTAAGTATTTGGAGATTTTTAAAAAAAAATTATAAAAGCAATGGACAGTGAATAGGAAAGATTTGGTGTGTAATTTAAAACTGTTACATTCTACCTACAAATCTGTATCATAATTGAAAGCATTGTTTTCGTATGACACATCAACTGCATACTTGTATCCATTTACTTTTTTGATTAGGATTAGTTATTTGAAAGTCTGTTAAACCTTAAAGTTGACAACGAGGATTACTATTCTGTTATTTCAAGAGTTATATAACTATTTCGATATTCCATTTTCGTTAGTATAGTCTTATCTTTTCTGGTGATGATTTGTACTCGCCAACTGATTCGACAGTGTTTTTCTACGAAGCGTAGGGTTAACTTATTTCAAAGTTGATATATACTATAGTAATTCAATGAGATTTTGTTTTCTTCATTCCTCAACATGCATATAAGTCTAATTTATTGACTTGTAATATATATATATATATATATATATATATATATATATATATATATATATATATATATATATATATATATATATATATACATATCAGTCCATTAACGCTTTATGACTTTTGTTTCCTAGTAAATGTCCCATAAATTTTCCAGAAAATGGGTAAAGTTAGTGCATTCGATAAATAAAGCTTTGCATATAAATGCACTGAATTTGCTTCCCTCATTAACTGCTAATCAATACTAGATTCACTAAAGAAGAAATTTATTTAGAGAAATAAGCAGACAAGGTGAACCATATTTGTGATAATGCGACAAAATTGAGAAGGCTAGTACATTCGGTTAACTTTGAGCCTACACAATACTAAGTATCTCATCTAAGTTTTCTACATCACTTTGTATATATTGATTAAGTGTTTCGGTCTGATTGTCCTTAAGGAGATGATATAAATTGTCAGAGAAGATTCCCTACAATTTTAATTTATAAAAAGTATAATTTTTACTGTACTATTCTGTTGGGAGGGTGACTACTTCCAACTGCCTTAATTATTCACTACTCCCCATTTTCGGTAAGCAAATTTAATCACTTTAGTCAGATAACTTAATTGAGGTAAGATAATATATAACAATAATCTTTATTACATCAAATATTCAATTTCACCCAAACCTTAAATTATAGCTTAGAAATGAAGTAAAATGTGACTTTCTTAACAGCGACATAAAAAACATTTCCGTCGTAGCTTTCCACGAATCCGCTTTGTATATTCAGAAGTAGTTGAATTTAACCAAGGAACGAGAACCATATTAACCTACTTAATGCATAATATTGTAATGTAATCGAAATAACAGTCGAACTTAGTGATTTATTTTAAATAAACTTACCAAATAATGCTTGAAAAATAACTGCTAATATTTATCGGGACGACTAGCATTTGTGAATCTACGAGATATTGTCCAGTGTTAATAATAATTACATATATATTTGCTGAACTTGGAGGGTGTTTCTTGACAAAGTTTACTTACAAATACGTGCTGGTTATATATAACGTAAAAGGTATGCCGACAACAGAAGTTAAGGTGATTTTTACTAGTCACACAAAAAACATCAACAAATAATGTTTACTTCACTTTGGTGATTTAATACCATGCTTTTTGTTTTGGCGTCAATTTACAAAGGGGGGTAATGTTATGTCCCGATATGAATAATGGTTGGTAACTTTCGGGATCCATTTATGGGCTAATACTATGTGTACATTTTTATCGTATAATTGTTAAATAACTAAACTGTTCATATTCATGTCCCTCTTATTATAAGCTTTATTTTGACCTATGAGCTATTATTATACGATTTACCATTTTTGAATTATGCCGTCTATTAATTACTACCTCCCCCATTCACAGCCACATTTGGCTAATTCTTGTACAAATGTTGTTTCATATTTTATGGTATGCTGTGGTCTGTCTGGTTGGTATATAAACCCATCATGCTTGAAATAAATAATTCATAATGCAGAGGCTGAGATTGGTGTTCTGGACTTAACTGGCTGGGTTGGGCAGGAAGCAAGACCGATAGGGACTCTAGACTGCTCGTATGGGTTTTATGCGTCATTGGTCCGATCGATAATTCACTGCTCTCCAATTGGCGGTATCATTACGTTATACATTAGCAAGGCACACAAGTACTATGTGATATCTCCATAAACTGTAACACATTGGTATTCATAAACACGAGGTATAGATTATCTTCCTAAACTAAGTACTAAGATTATGAAAATCGGGAGAGTAGTGAATAATTTAAGGTGCCACATAAAAACACTAGACCTAGACTTTGTACATGGAGACCCTTATCAGTAAGGTATATCTGTAACATCCAGGTTAAAATTTTTAAATGACTTGATCTGGTGTTCCCTACTTACACAGTAAAACACTGTCGGGAAACAGCTACTCAGATTGATAATACCATTTGAACAAAATTAACCGCACAATATCGTGAAAATATTTATTATCCAATGACTTATAAGCATAAAACATTTTTAATTCTGTTTATTGGGAGGATTATTTTTTGGCTAGTTGTATCTATAGTATTTAACCACTTAGTTCTAAATATGTTAAGTGTTTAATACACGATAAATCTTGAATGATAGTTCTTCCTCTCATGAATTCTACTGTTGATAAATCTCGAACTCAGACAAAATAGTCTTGTACTTTATAACTGTCATCGGTCATCCAACTGATGTTACATAGTAATAAAAATCACCATATACAAGTCAAGTTATTTTTCTCTAAACAATTATATGATTATAAATAGGTATAGCTTCTTTAGCTTTGTAATTCTATAAATCTTGGAAATGCTCAACCATTCATTGCTCATATGATTCATTTATCGTAAAGTGAAATTGTTATAGAAACAAAGTTAGAAATATTCAAATTTGCATTGGATGGAGCAGACATAATTACTCTGTTATTTATTATCAATTATTCATTAATAAAACAAATTGAATGAGATAATTTTCGCAAGATTAATTATGGAATAGATATAAGTACATGATGTAAAATTCTTAGTTTGTAGTAGCTTTGATATACAATTTAATAATTTAAATCTATAATTAACATAATTTTATATACGCACTGAAAAAGTTTCAGTTGAAATGATTCTACTCATGTTGGGAAAACAATTTTTATGGTGGAAAGTTAGTCAAAACTAGAAAGTTCTAGACAGATGTTTAGTTCTATTTTTTCCTTTCTCTAACTTGTATCTATAATTTATTTTAAAACAAAACATAGAAGTTACATGTTTTACAAACAGTGTTTTCTTTTCTAGCTTTACGGGAATTTCTATCAAGTTAAGTAACATCTTTAATGAACAATTCTGTATTGAGCATATGCTCTTAAAACATAATTTGAAATAAATGCTTTAATTTGTGAAGTGTTTTCACTGTTATAACTGTGATCTGTATAAAGAACCACCTACAATGGTGAAGATTTATAGCTCAGGTAGATGATTTTGATGGAGTTTTGTTCTCTGAGCTGGATGATTTGGTCATGGAACTTTCATCGTTCTTCTGAACGACATCATCAGTACAAGCGTCAGGTAAAAGTGAAGTGTTTGAATTTTTTCACATGTGGTTCACAGCTTGTCCTGTGAACCTCGATGAAAGCTTCACGACTAAATCATCCAGCTTAGAGAACAAAACTATCTACAATCTTCTGTTTTTGTATATTTATTCATTCATTTCAAAATTGAAGAAATCTTTACAGAAATCTATTATAATTATTCTGTAAGCATAATAAAAGTGTTTCTTCACAATCAACCATCCTCTCCCTTACGAATAAATAAATCTTCCAATGAATGTTACATTAATTAATACAGAAAAAGAAAAAAAAGAAAAAGTTTTATAAAGCATGTATAATTCAAACGAGAAAGTATTTTGTGCAAAAGAAAATTAATTGATTTGCCCATAAAAAGTGGTTTAGTGAGGTAGATTATTCTTTGATATTTTTCAACGTTGATATTACAAATTAATCATCACAGTTAAATAAAGTGAAATATACAAATCTGCTTGTAATTCTATTTGAAATTCTATTCAATATTCAATTATTTAGTGAATTTATTTTAAAGGTATATTATGAATTATATAGTTATCGTTTTCTAAATTAGAATCTTGAGAATTATTCTGACTATTAACTGGTAATGTAAACGAATTGTTTAAGTCATCTGATTCAGTAATAATCGGTTCATTTTGTTTTAGTGAATTTTCTAAATTATAAACAAGATCGTTATTAGTATTTATACTCATATCATTTGAATATAAAGTCATATTTGATTGTAAATTTTGAATAAAGTTTATCACTGCACTCCAGGAAGTTAGTAAGATATTGAACATTTGTATTTTATTGCAGATGGTACATGTACAATTTCCATTTAAAATAGTTGAATTAGTATTAAAAGATGACAATGCCATAGATTGTGGTGAACATACTTTTTGAATTGGTGAATCATCAATTTGAGGAGATTCAGTTGTGAGTTGACTTACGGATTTGTCTGAATACGATAAGAACTTACCATTTTTTGTTGGATCGTTCAGAGCAATTTTATCATGTATTAAAGTTTTATTTTTCGATTGAATCGATCTATGTGTTCGAATGTTACCATCTGTCAATGTTGAATTTAGCTTCTTTGAATGGGAAACTTTTCTAAATGTACGCTTGGATGTAACCAAACTTCGTTTTCTTGAACTAATTGATGAACTGCATGCAACGGAGAGTGGAAATAAATAGGAACCAGGGGAACTGTAATGACGTAATTTTGTATTACGTTTCTGTTTAAGCCAAGAGTAATTTGATGAGTAATTAGTGAAATAATTAAGACTGCTACTCAGCTTATGAGAAACTTCATTCAGAATTTGACGATATGGCAAGGGATTTATATTTTGTAAAATATTATTG